GATTTCTGTGAGGACTCTGTATCTCAAGCTGTGGTGTTATTTTTGTTTTGTTTCCGTTTTTTAAATTAAGTGTCTGCTTGAGCCCTTGTGCCACACATTAAATAAATGCATTAAAAAAAAAGCTCATGGAAATACGTGTAATGGAAAAACTATATATGAATTTCAAAAAGTTTTTGTACCAAAATAAATTTATACTTTAATTAAAAAAAATAAAATAAAAACTTAAAAAAAAGAAAGAGTGCTAGAACATATCCCATTTTGTACATGAAAAAGACTGAAGCTTAGGGAGAGAATCGACTTTTTAAAAGTTACAAAGTTGGTAAATGGTAGAACCAAGATTCTTTGAACATATGAGGTTCAAGAGTCTGAGTTCAAGCCTACTTTCTTGTAAGGATTCATGCGATTGGGACTCTGGAGTTCTAGAAGGCATTCTACTCTCTAAAATTCTTGGAATGCAGCCATGTTTCCAGGAAACTCTCTGTGTGCATGTAAAACAGGGATGGACAAAAGTTTAAGTGGTGCTAAGTGCTTTGAGTGACCCACTCCCTGAGGCAGAAGAATGGCCGGTCCACCCATAGATCCGGTGATAGTAACTAGGGGCTCCATTGGATAGTACAATGGCAGAGCTAAGAGCCACAGCCCATCCATTTTACAGCACTCAGGCCACCTCACCTAGAAAATGCAAGGCAGGTGGAAGGAAGGCATATACTTTTTTTTTTTTTTTTTTTGAGGATGAAAATGAATGAGAAAGGATGGTATGGTATTTAAAAATCACATGACCCCTGGAATTAAGAAGCAAATGGTTCTGTGTGAGAGAACATCCCTTTCCATCAAATTTCTGTTTCTTTGTCCCATCCATGAAACAGAGCCTTGAACTTTGAAACCACAGTGCCTTGTTCCAACTTGGAAAACAGCTTGGCACTTTCCTGTATTGGAAGCCCCCAGCTTGAGATGGTAAAACATCTCTCAGATAGGCTCCCTTTGTTCACCCAGAGCTTTTTGCCAGTGGTCACCTTTATGAAATCAAATGAAGATACACTTCTTGGCTGGCTGGCATGAATCTGCCTTTCCTTGTCAGCCTCGCCTTGCTGCCAGAGCTTTGAGCTCAGGGAGGATTTCCAGGTGGCAGCAGAACAACAGTCCCATAAGGCTGGGTCCCTGGCACATTTCCTCTTTTAACCTGTGGCAGAGACTGCACTTTGCCGGTGCAATTATGCAACCTGGTGTAAAGTCCACAGCTGGGTAGGGGCGGGGGCAGGACTTTAAGCTGGCTCAGCACTCTCATTGGGCTTCTCCACTTTCCAGTTTCCTGTACCCTTTCCTCTCCTGGCTAGGTCTCTCTTTCTTTCTTCCCTCTCATTCATCCTGGACTTCTTTCCTCTTCTCCCTCCTTCTCCTCCTCTTTCTTCTCTCCCTACCTTCCCACCCGAGTCCCTCCATCCTTGTCAGCCTCCACCCTTAGGGATCCTTAACTCAGGAAACCACCTCTTATCAGGTATCTTGGCTTGCCTCCAACAGAGGCAGGCAGCTCTGGCTCTAGTCTGCTGAGTGATTTTCTTCACCACCAGTTGTTTGCTTTTCTAATCCAGTTGGAATAGGAATTGTGTGTTAAACGCAAGAGGGAAAATCCAAAAACAAAAAAAGAGAGCTTGTTCCCTAGTGAGAGTGCCGCTCTGGACTAAAACAGAAACGAAAGGAGGCTTGGATTCTGCACACTTGGAGAGTGATATTATGGGAAGAGTAGGAGAAAAACTAGCCTTAGTACACATGAAAGCCTGAGGCGCACCTGTATCACGCCGTAGGGATTGGAGCATCACTTCAAGTCCTCCATTTTCCACTTAATTGGGATTTATAAAGGCTATTTTTGCCCTTAATATACCTGCCATCCTGGTCTTGCTCAAGTGGCTCTAAACAGATACCATCTGCACCACCTCCACAGCCAGCCACAAAACACAAAGCGGCAGACTCCCAGACTCCAGAGTTCTTGCTTTTTAGGAGCGTGGAGAAGCACATAAGACAGGAAAAAAAAAAAAAAAAAAGAGAGAGAGAGAGAAGCTGGATAGAGTAATTACATTACAGGGTTACCTTGTGTGACAAAAATTAAAATGTAGGGTACAAGCAATAACCCCTCCAGGACTGCACTGTCTTTGAGAGCACAAAGACTTGGAGACTCAAAAGTCTTCTGTCAGTTCAAAGCATGATCTTTAAAACCTTCTTTCTTTAAGGTTTTCTCTCTTCTTACTTGGTTGTACATAGTTGGTACATATTTTATTTCTTAACTGATTTTCACAAAGAATGAGACTGATGGAAGTGTGTATACATGTATAAGCAAAAGCATTTATGAATTGTTTTAAAAGTATGAGATAGAATGAATAGCTGACCTTTGCGACAATTTTCATCGGGTTTTGTGATAGTATGTGTTGAGTTCCTAAACTTAGATGGCAAGTCCTTTTTAGTGAGATTGGCCTAATTCTATGTTTTCTATGGCACCTAGTCACTATGGCTGTGCAACAACCATTATTACCCAAAGTACCATAATAATGGCCATGCCCTCCTATGACGTGATTGTTTCCTATCTGCCAAGACATTAATTGCCTTCTAACTTGCTCTAAAATTGGTAGTACGGAAAACTGCCAAAGCTGAAGAGAAGAAAGCTGCTGGTTGTATAGGAAAGGCTGTGTAAAAGGACATATTGATGTTCCCTTCTCATTGGGGCATGCTCACATTTGCATATTAATTCATTTGTTCTGGGATGTTAGCTTGGCCTTGTCTTCTGACTAGGTTTTCTTCTTATCATGGTCAGTGTCTCATCTTTTCTTCAACTGAATGATTCAAGCATCTCTAAAGTTATTTTGGCTTTTCCACTTTCCTTTTACAGGCTTTTTCTGACTCATTGGATTGAATGGGAGGTTACTTCTAAATTGGAAGATGAGGATGAGAGAGAGAGAAGGGGGAGGAAAGTTCCGGAAAATAACTAGGAAAAGATATCTTACTGTTAAGTATAGTTACTGGAGGAATAATTTCTGCTTAGGTTTGTGAACAGAAGTGTGTAGTTTATTTAAATGCGACTAAAAATATAGGCTAGAAAAATAGACACATTTTTTTCCTGGATAATAAACCACATAGTTTTAGATTCATCCTAGCTTGCTCTGCAAAAGACAGGAGGTCAATGAATAAGAGATTTGGGACAAAGTTAACAGGGAGAAGAAAGGGACAACAGGCAAATTTTTCAAAGTCCAGATTCTTGCTCCCACAGGAAGTTCTCAACCATAAAGCAGAGCTTGTGAGGGGACTGTCACCTTGACTGCAACTCTTCTCATCCCTGGGTATATGTTTGATGGCCCATGGGTTTGTGTAGTATGGGTGGCATTGGGAGGAAGTTACATTTAAATCTAATTTAGAAACTGAAATAGTAATCAGGCCAGCATTCTGTTATTTAGGAGCAGGAAAAGTGGGTGGAAATAAAAAAGAAAAGCAAAAAGCTAATGATGAATGTATTTCTAGGCGCACAGGAATTTTTATAGCAACACTACATTTTTCAAAAATGCCTACTGTGATTTGTACCCAAATGAATAAAAAATGCAATCATTTATTCTTGTGCATTGTGCCAAAAGAGAAAAAAACCCTGCAACTTTTTCAATGGCCCTAATTTAGACTGCTAGAAGAGGAGAGGTTTAGAAAAAATAAAAACACAAGCTTTTAAAGTTATCTGACACGAAGCTAGTGGGGCTATTT